GTACTATTATTATCCCAGTTTTACAAATGGGGAGATAGATATGTTAAGGAACCCACCCAAGGACACACAGGTAATAAGCAGTAGAGCTGGGATTCAGTTTAGCTCCAGAGTTCATTCTCTTAATCACTGTTACATTGTCTCTCCAGTGATTTTTTTCCTGATATTCCTTTTGTTCAGTGTTTCTATAGTAGAGATTTGATAATAAAAATGAATAAAACCCTAAACAAGGAGAAATAATGTTACCTGGCTCCTCTGTCTCAAAGGATTTGTGGTAACATTGGAGTAAGCTCCCTTTGGGATTTGAAGACCAGTGAATTGGACATTCAGAATCACTGCATTTTCTGGGACCTGGGTTTCTAAAATTTTATCACTCACAACCTTGAGGATTATGGAGGAGGAGGGACTGGTGGACTCACTGGAGGTTTGGACCTTAGGAATGCCCCTTGTTGGGTTTAGAATGCCCCTTGTGGAGCAGAGTGCGAAGGTGTTTTTTTTTTAACACAACCAGATACTACTGCGTGCAGGAGCACCGTTTCTTAAGATCTCACTTGAATTCAGTATTTTTTCTTTATCTTCTCTAGGTGAAAAGATTGATAGAATTCAGAAGGGAAGGGAGCTAACCAGTTCATCACCTGGCGTGAGAAATTCTCAGTGCTCACAGGGGCCAGATGGGTCACAGGACTTGGGTGATGTATCTTCAGTTCACAAATATTTTCTAGATTTCCCTAAAGTAGGGTTATAACTAGAGGCCAAGGATTCTTCCTGCATAGGCTTCCAGAGTATTGGATAGAATTCTAGAGTATTTAACGTTCATCTGATTTTTTGAGGGGCAGTGGTGGTTCAGTGGTAGAATTTTTGCCTTATATGCAGGAGTCCCAGGTTCAATTCCCAGCCATCACACCTCATGCACAGTCACCACTTGTCTGTCAGTGGGGACTTGTGTGTTGCTGTGAGGCCGAACAGGTTTCACCAGCACAGATGAGGAGATGACGATGAACTAAGAACAAAGGCCTGACAATCTACTTCCGAAAAATCAACCAATGAAAACTGTATGCATCATGACAGTCCGAGCCCCAACCCATCATGTGCATGTTGCAGGACCATGCAGTATTTTGTTCTGTCACGCATAGCTGTTTTTAAGGTGATTTCATTGCTTTGGTTTTTAGAAACTTGTTTTGTCTTCCTACTGCTTCAGTGAGTCTTCCTGTGCGTCACCACTGCCATGGCTTGAGAATGTCCCAAGTAGTGAGCAGAGAGGAGGTTGTCCACAAATAACATGATATGTAAATAGGTCATGCTCTAACCACTCTAGCTAAAAATTATTCTAACTCAGACATCTTTGTTTTCTTACACATGGGAATGAGCTCACTCAAACATCAGTTGAATATAATCTAGCTGTTAGACGATGCATAACCCACTGGTATTAGAAATAGCAAAGGGGGTGTGTGGAAGTTAGGGAAGGGTGGTGAAATCCACTCAGAAACCAGCTCTGAGGACACTGATGCTCTGACTCAAAAGGTGGTAGTTTCGTTTCATAGCTGCAACTTGGGAACAGGTATAAATGTAGAACAGAAACAGGTGAATTGTGAGGTGTGAACATCCAGATTTGGTCCATCATGAGAGGACAACAGTGCACAGAAGAGCTAAGTTCATTTGTTCATTCTCATTCATACATGCATTCAGCAACCCCTCATGAAGGGTCTCTTGTATGTGGGGATCCGTTTTAGGCTCCATAGAGGCTATCCAGGGACCCCAGTTCCACAGGGAAGATGTACTAATTTTTCTTTTGTGAAAATACTGTAACATTACCACAAACTTTGCAGCATTAATCGTTGCATAGGAGGTAAATCAATGAATTCTAACTTGGCAACTAGATTAGCTTACATTTATAGTTTCTTTTTATTCTAAAGACAGTTTTAAATAATTGCACTATAACTATTCTCATTGATGATTTACTTAGAACATGGCACAGTTAGAATAATGAGTAATAAATCAGAACTTATATATATCTGCACAAAACTTATGAATGGGTACATTTGACACGATTTTCAGTGTTTGGGTATTGAAGTCAAGACCACTTCTTAGTAGAAGAAATATTAAGTCAAAGAAGTTAAATTATTGCAACACAATGACTGTCATGGATTGAAATGTGTCCCCCAGAAATATCAGTCAACTTGGCTAGGTCATGATTCCCAGTATTGTATGATTGTCTGCCATTTGTCATCTGATATGATTCCCTGTGTGTTGTAATCCTATCACTATGATGTAATGAGACAGATTGTTGTTGTTAGGTGCCGTCAAGTAGGTTCTGACTCATAGTGACCCTATGCACAACAGAACAAAACACTGCCTGGTCCTGTGCCATCCTCACAGTTGTTGGTATGCTTGAGCCCATTGTTGTAGCTACTGTGTCAATCCATCTTGTTGAGGGTCTTCCTCTTTTTTGCTGACCCTCTACCAAGCATGATGTCCTTCTCCAGGGACTGATCCCTCCTGATAACATGTCCAAAGTATGTGAGACATAGTCTCCCCATCCTTGCTTCTAAGGAGCATTCTGGTTGTACATCTTCCAAGACAGATTTGTTCATTCTTTTGGCAGTCCACAGTATATTCAATGTTCTTAGCCAACACCACAGTTCAAAGGCATCAATTCTTCAGTCTTCCTTATTGATTGTCCAGCTTTCGCATGCATATGAGGCAATTGAAAACACCATGGCTTGGGTCAGGCGCACCTTAGTTCTCAAGGTGACATCTTTGTTTTTCAAGAGATCTTTTGCAGCCGATTTTCCCAAAGCAATGCGCCTTTTGATTTTTTGACTGCTGCTTCCAAGGGTGGTGACTGTGGATCCAAGTAAAATGAAATCCTTGACAACTTCAATGTTTTCTCCATTTATCATGATGTTGCTTAGTGGTCCAGTTGTGAAGATTTTTGTTTTCTTTATGTTGAGGTGTAATCCATACGGAAGGCTGTAGTCTTTGATCTTCATCAGTAAGTGCTTCAAGGCCTCTTCATTTTCAGCAATCAAGGTTATGTCATCTGCATAATGGAGGTTGTTAATGAGTCTTTCCCAATCCTGATACCCTATTCTTCATATAGCCCAGCTTCTTGGATTATTTGCTTAGCATACAGATTGAATAAATATGGTGAAAGAATACAACCCCGACACCTTTCCTGACTTTAAACCATGCAGTATTCCCTTGTTCTATTTGAACAACTGCCTCTTGATCCATGTACAGATTCCTCATGAGCACAATTAAGTGTTCTGAAATTCTCATTCTCTGCAATGTTATCCATAATTTGTTATGATCCACACAGACAAATGCCTTAGCATGGTCAATGAAACACAGGTAAACATCTTTCTGGTATTCTCTGCTTTCAGCCAGGATCCATCTGACACCAGCAATGATATTCCTGGTTCCACATTCTCTTCTGATTTTCTGGCCATTCCCTGTTGATATACTGCTGCAGCTGCTTTTGAATGATCTTCAGCAAAATTTTGCTTGAGTGTGATGTTAATGATATTATTTGATAATTTCCAAATTCTGTTGGATCACATTTCTTGGGAATAGGCATAAATATGGATTTCTTCCAGTCGGTTGGCCAGGTAGCTGTCTTCCAAATTTCTTTTCATAGACAAGTGAGCACTTCCAGCACTGCATCCGTTTGTTGAAAAAGTTGGTATTCTGTCAATTCCCAGAGGCTTGTTTTTCACCAATGCCTTCAGTGCAGCTTGGAATTCTTCCTTCAGTACCATCAGTTCCTGATCATATGTTACTTCCTGAAATGGATGAACGTAGATCAACTCTTTTTGGTATAGATGAAGAAAATGAAGATTTTTACCAACATCTGCAGTCTGAAATTGATCGAACATGTAATCAGGATGCACTGATAATTACTGGTGATAGGAATGCAAAAGTTGGAAACAAAGAAGGATCGGTAGTTGGAAAATATGGCCTTGGTGATAGAAAGGATGCTGGAGATCACGTGATTGAATTTTGCAAGACGAACCACTTCTTCACTTCAAATACCTTTTTCAACAACATAAACGGTGACTGTACACATGGACCTCACCACATGGAATACACAGGAATCATATTGACTACGGCTGTGGAAAGAGATGATGGAAAAGCTCTGTATCATCAGAACAAGGCCAGGGGCCGACTGCAGATCAGACCATCAGTTACTCATGTGCAAGATCAAGTTGAAACTGAAGAAAATTTGAACAAGTCCACAAGAGCCAGAGTATGACCTTGAGTATATCCCACCTGAATTTAGAGACCATCTCAAGAATAGATTTGTTACGTTGAAAACTAATGACCGACGACCATATGATTTGTAGAATGACATGAAGGACATCATACATGAAGAAAGCAAGAGGTCATTAAAAAGAAAGAAAAGACCTGAATGGACGTCAGAAGGGACTCTGAAACTTGCTCTTGAATGTCAAGTAGCTAAAGCAAAAGGAAAAAATGATGAAGTAGAAGAGCTGAACAGAAGATTTCAAAGGGTGGCTCGAGAAGACAAAGTGTTATGATAACATGCACAAAGAGCTGGAGATAGAAAACCAAAAGGGAAGAACATGCTTAACATTTCTCAAACTGAAAGAACTGAAGAAAAAACTCAAGCCTCGAGTTGCAATAGTGAAGGATTCTATGGCGAAAACATTAAATGACACAGGAAGCATCAAAAGAAGATGGAAGGAATACACAGAGTCACTATACCAAAAAAAAAAAAAAAAAAAACGAGATGGATTAGTGGCAGTTATATTGATGAGATCTACAAGACTAGATAGTGTCTTAAGCCAATCTCTTTTGAGATATAAAAGAGAGGTGAGTAGAGAGAGAGAGGGACCTCATAAATCACCAAGAAAGCAGCACTAGAAGCAGAGTGTGTCCTTTGGACCTGAGGTTCCTGTGCTGAGATGCTCCCAGACCAAGGGAAGACTGATGACAAGGACCTTCCTCCAGAGCTGACACAGAGAGAAAGCGTTCCCCTGGAGCTGGTGCCCTGAATTTGGACTTCTACTGGACTGTGAGAGGGTAAACTTCTCTTTGTTAAAGCCATCCACTTGTGGTATTTCTGTTATAGCAGCACTAGATGCCTAAGACGATGATGCTAAAAAATACCAGGAATCTTTATACATACAAATGGGAAAACATTCAACACATGGCATATTACTTATAGTATGCTTGGTTTGATCATGCAAACTAATTTTTAAGAAATGCCTTCTCACATTTCCTTACACTACAGAGGTAAGTGTGCTAAGATCAGCTTAAAATTTCAGTTTTACAGTGCAAATCTAAAAAAATAATAAAATGTTCAAAACATTCAAGGAACAAAATATGAACTTTCAATTAAAAAACTGAGTGGTAGCATGTAAAAAGTGAACAGTGTGATTAGTTATAAAAGGAAACAAATGATTGTGATAGTGAAAGGTAAAAATGATCTGCAAATTTTCTTTTATCGATCAGATAAAAGATTAAAATTGTACCTCCCTATACACCTGAGGTACAAATTGCACCTCCATATACACCTGAGGGAGCCCTGTTGGCTCAGTGGTTAAGAGCTTGGCTGCCAACAAAAAAAGTTGACAGTTTGAATCCACCAGTCTCTCCTCAGAAATCCTATGGGACAGTTCTACTGTCTTACAGAGTCGCTATGAGTC